GTGTGTGTGTGTGTGTGTGTGTGTGTGTGTGTGTGTGTGTGTGTGTGATGCATATGTGAGTGTCATGGTACATACTTGGAGGTCAAGGGACAATTTCCAGAAATCAATTCTCTCTTTACACCATAGTTTCCAGGAATCAAATTTAGGTCAGTAGGCTTACATGGTAATCACTTTACCTTCTGAACCCTCTGTCCAGCGTACTCCACATTTTTCTTAAAGGGGAAAATGTCTCTGTTTCACTCTGACTCTAGATGGCTAGTAGAGCCATGTGTATAGAAATAGAAAGTCACCATTTTGCTCCTGACTGCTGTGTAAATAAGTGTCACTTGTTCATTAAGTTAAATTCTCTTCTTACCCTGTCACACTGGCTTTTTGGTGTGAAGGTCCTGTTTTTGTCAGCTACGCCTACTGATTTTCTTGATGTTTTTAAACTTTATTTTTATTTTATTGGTGTTTTGCATGTATGTATGTCTATATGAGGGTGTTGGATACCCTGAACTTGGAGTTACAGACAGTTGTGAACTGCCATGTGGATGTTGAGAATTGAACCTGGGTCCTCTAGAAGAGCAACCAGTGTTCTTAACCACTGAACCACCTTGCCAGTCCCAGATCTTTCTTTTTTTTAATTCAGGCTCCACTGTGGTTTTTCCCACTTTATTCAACATATTTTGAACTTTTTATCAGGAAAAACAAGCACTCTAGATTATAAACCATCTCTATCTACTTGCTGAAATAAAATTGGGGGACTTCCTCCTTCAATGCTATAATCAGTATAACCTTTCATAGGAGAAGAGTGATAGAAGGCAATGATACAGGGTTTCTAAATAATTACTAAGCAATTACTGTGGGAACTTCATCAGCCAATGACCTTTGTTAGACAAAAGGGAGAGGTGCTATGGGAACTCCTTCTGCTAGTGGCTTTTGGGATGCTAACCCACTTTGAACATGGTCTTGTGTACTATATTTGCAGATGTATGGGCATGCTCAAGCCCCTTAGTTGCTGGATTCAATTCCAGTTCCCAGTGTACACAGAAGACTGTTGATTGCTACCAATTCTGTGAGTTTACCCTCTCACAAATAAGCTTTTATTATTCTCCATTTTGGGCTAGTGTGGAAATATTTCCTAGCACAACAATTAATAACTTCCTTTTCTTGTTTATGTGCCCCTTTTCATGATGAAAAAGTGAAAATACCAGAAAATAAGTACTGACAAAGAAGACTCAGCACTTGGCATAACCATCAAAATCTCTTCCCCATGCAGAGGTCTGGGCCCAAGACTTCTTCCTGACCAATGAGAAGATGCCTTAGGATAGTTTAGCTTCCTTAATAGCTCAGACCTGAGGCTGCTCACTCTGAGACTACAATCTGAGAGTGTGTACATAAACTCCTAGGGTTAATGATATTCTATAGTGATTGATTCTGTTACCTGAATATTGAAATTTTTCCCCATATGGAAAGAAAAATTCATGTTGGGGGAAAGGGGTGAGCAGGATTACTTTTTATTCGGACTTTCACTGTTATAAGCTTCAAATATTGGCTTATGTTCAGCAGCAGTGAACCCTCAGAGGGGTCATCAAAGCTAAAAATAACAAAGCTTTATATGTAGAGTAGTTCCCTTGTATAGGCATCTAGGGACAGATTTCATATGTTCTTTGCTTTCTTTGCTCAGTAGCTTCAGGCCATGTGGTGGTAAGAATAAGAATAGCCCCCATGGGCTCATATATTTGAATGCTTAGGCACTAGGAAGTGGAACTCTTTGAAAGTATTAGAAGGATTACAAGGTGTAGCCTTGTTGGAGAATGTGTGTCACTAGAGGTGGGCTTTGAGGTTTTAAAAGCCCAACCAGTTCCAGTGTCTCTCTCTCTGCCTGCTGCCTGCAGATTGGGATGTAGAACTCTCAGCTACTTCACCCACACAACATCTGCCTGTGCTGCTGTACTTCCCAACATGTTGATTATGGACTCAACCTCTGAAACTATAATGTGTTCTTTTATGAGTTTCTATGGTCATGGTGTCTCTTCACAGCAATAGAAAGTGACTAAGACAGGTCAGTTACTTAACGTTCCTGTGCCTAAGGTTCCTAGTCTAAAATAAGATCAGTATGGTTACCTGATTCTCAAAGTTGACGGTGGTTTTCTTGCAAAAGCATAAAGCTAAAGCTATCCAAAGAAGGTGTGTTGGACCTTTCATTGTTATAGTAACACACCTGACATAAACAACTCAAAATGAATAAAGACTTATTTTGGCTCACGATTTCCAAGGTTTCAGTCCATGGGTCACTGGCTCAGTTGTTTCTGGATAATAGTGACATGATGGCAGAAGGGTGTGACGTGGGGCAAATTTGTTTAACCCATGGTACCCAAGAAGCAGAAAGAAGCAGAGCATAAGGGACCAAAGTGAGATAGAGTTTCTCCTGACCTACTTCCTCCAAGAACTCTACCTCTAAAGTTTCCAGTGCCTCCTAAAATAGTGCAGCCAGCTGCTGACCAAGTTTCCAACATAGGAGCCTATATTTAAGGGTCATTTCAGATCCAAATTGTAACTGGAGGCCAGTACTAGTTAAACCTCTCATTGTTGTGTCCCAGAATCCAGGTTCCCAGCTACAGTAAGCCTCTGTGTTCCCTTGTTCAGCTAAAGTGGGGTCAAGTGGTGGCCCTACATGGTCATGGAGCCAGGTGATCGCCACAAGGCAGTGGATCAGACAAAAAACAACAAGCAATGTAATTCTACTGGAATCTTTCCCCAAAGAACTTCAGAAAATTCTCAAAGATTCTAGAACATACAGGTGAGGGCAGGAGTTGGTGATATCTAAGTTCTCCTTGCTTGTGGGGCATTATTTTTATCCATGAGTGTGAGGTATAGAAAAACATGAACTACCATTTTTTCCATCTGACAAAATGGTCCCAAGTACTTGGGTATAGGATAGCTAGCCTGGCTCCATGAAACTGCTGAGTGGCTCTTGAAATATTTCTAAAAAATAGCTTCCAGGGTTGCTGGACAAGGGAATGGACTCTGAAAGAGTGATTGGCCTTCATCAGTTTCATTTATCTCTAGTGAGAAGAAAAAAAAAGCAAGAAGAAGATGAGCGACTGAGGAAGAGAACTGAGAAACTCCCATTGCTGTCTATTATTGTGGCCATAAGAAAATGAGTTTCATTTTGAAGACATTTTCCTTCTTGTATGCATTTTACATGGATGAGTTGTGACTTCTGTATCAGACATTTCTTTTTCAGTAGATTTTTGTTTGTTTTTCTGAGATAAAAGCAACCCTAGCTGAGCATGAACATCCACACTCCACTTGGGTCTAGACTGGGCCAGATGTAAGCCAATGGGCAAAGAAAAGAGGGTGAAAACTGGGTCCCCCGGGACTGGTTGTCTCCTTGACTGAAATGTGTATTGCCCAACTTACTGAGCTTTTTTTTTCCTGAGGCAACAGCACTAGTAAGGGAGGCAGCCCCTAGAGCCAGATTCTCGCATGCAGTGCTGTGGGACTGCCAGAGTGTCTGCCAGTCTTTGCTTTCCTGAGAATAATTTCCCTCTTCCTGGAATTAGATCCAATATTTGGGGTAATGGGTCAGCATACCCAGAGAGGCTTTTTGGTTCTGCCCTTGGTGTTCTTGGCATTTCTTCCACCACACTAGATTATTTGGCCAACCAGTCTCCTAGACTATTACATCAGAGGATCCAACTGTTTCTGACCCCTTCCTCTACCTTACCTCCAAACTGTCACCAACATAGATTTCTATAATGTTTTCAATGTTATCAATCCTTCTGTTTTTAAAATATTTTTTGAGTATTGCACTACAGCCATTTTTACTGAACAAATAAATTGGTCATATTTCTATAAAATTTCCTGTTTTCCTGTCTCTTGTTTTCAAGTCATCTTATCTGTATCATTTCCATGTATTCTTGCTTGTTGTATATCCCCTACTTATTTTTGGTGGAATTTTAATGTGAGAAAAGGTCTTAACTGTCCCCCAAACAGTGGTCAACTCATTATGTTGAAAGAACTCAAGGGTTAGAAAGATAACTTTCCAATATGTATCCCCAAGCCTGAACCTGATACCCAGACTCATGTTGGAAGAAGAGACTCGACTCCCAAAAAGTATTTTCTTGCCCATACATATGCAACTTTCCCCCTCCATACACACACAAAATAAAGGATAAAAAAATTAGAGAACTCAATAAATCAAATTCTAATGTCCATAATTAATTCATTTTTCACAAATGGCCTTTATTTTTATGATTACAAATGTAATACATGCTTACTGTAGTGAATCTGGAAATCACAGAGAACAGTAAAAAGAAGAAAATAAAAAAAAACACCTATAACCCACCACCTGAAGGCAAACACTGTTCATATTATGTTCTAACTACCTACACCTGTTTAGACACCAAGACCCTTAAGAAGAGTGCTGGCCATAAAGCACAACAGCCAAGGGGAGCAAGGGCAATTAAGAACTGAGGGGATCACCCAGAGGTCATAGCTAGAGATTCCACACCAAAGGACAAGGGCCATAAGCAAGAGATCAGAAGCTAACAACACAAGAACAAGTTAGGTACTATAACACTGTAGTGAGATGGTGCTTGGCAAGGGTTTAGCTCAGTACCTGTCACGTGGCACATTACCAACAATTGTTAGCCATTACTATAACTACTATTAATATTATGGGTCAAAACAAATGGTTCAGGATCGAGACTATAAACAGGGCAAGGGCCCTGGAGACCCATTTAGATACTATGAGTTGGGGCATATAAGGGTGAGTCTACTGGTTTGAAAGGGTGGTATAGGAGTGGGTATCTCTCTCTTTATAGGCTCCCTGCCAGGTGGAATGGGACAAGGGTTTCCTCAAGTTTGCCTGATGACACATGGCAAGACACTCTCAGGTGTTTTGAGGTAGGACATGATTTCTCCTGCCTAGACTTCTC